GAGCCTTACCCTGCACGGCTTTCTGCGGCACCTCAGTGATTCTAAATCAGCGCTCCGGTGGGCAGCGGTCTGGGCAGTCGCCCACAGGGAGTACACTTGGCGCTGCGTGCTCGGACTTTTGGTCTTGCTCAGAGCTGCCGATCTCCAAGAGCTCTGAGGCTACGGATTTATTCGGGTGGGGTGAGGTGTTATTATTGTGGGATTGTCTCTGCAGAGTTGGCCTGGAGAGTAGGCGCCAGAGGAAGAGACTGGAGCAAGGCTTCGCCAAGTGTTCCCAGGAGTCCGGCAGCGCCCCTGAGAGCAGTAAGCTGGAGGGCTCGGGCACAGGGGGCGGGAGGGGATGCGTGACTGCTGGCTGGGAACAGGGAGGCAGTGCGGAGGGGAAGGGGGCAACGTGCCAGTTTTCTCTCTGATTAATGATGATCATGCTGCCGCGCCTGGCTCATGCGCTTTGTCTCCAGCCCTGGGGCTGGCGGAGAATTGCCGGAGAATGAGTGGTGCCGCGAGCGTCGGGCGCACCCAGCAGGTGCCGGCACTCCGGTTGAGCCAGCACCGGCCGCGCCCGGTGGCACAGAGGTCGCGACACCGGCAGGCACCCAGCTGCGGCCACCTCTTGGGTGTGGCGGGTCAAGGGGCCAGGGTCTCCGGCCCGAGAAGCTGCGGAGCCACGTGCAACACGCGCGTTAGCCTCAGCCCGGGCGGGGACCGGGCGCATCCGGGGCTGCGGGGAGGAGCCGGGCGCCGCCCCCGGGCGGCAGTGCCAGCCGCGTGGGAGGGCACGGACCGGCGAAGGGGCAGACGGCTGAGGCGGTCAGGCAGGGAAAGCGGAACCGAGTGATCGGCCGAGGCTGGCTGGCTACGGGTGGGATTGGCAGAGCTACGGGGACAGGTGGGAGCAGTGAGACAGCCTGAGAGAGGGAGAGCGGAATGCAAAGAGAGCGGGAGCGTTAAGTAGGCAGAGCGAGAGCGAGAGAGCGAGCAAGAGCACTCGCGTGCTCCCTCCCTCCAGACGTCCTCCTCTGACCGAGGGAAGCGGCCAGGGGCACAGAGTGGGAGAGAGACTGGGCACAGACGGCCGGAAGAAGGACGGAGGGACCCTGCCTTGCTGGTGGGACGGAGGGACGCGGAGGGACGGACAGACCAGCCCACAGACCGGCCGACCGCGAGAGTGGCAGCTTGGAGAGCAGAGCGCAGGAAAACGAAAATCCCGCGCTGAGCTGCTGGACTGACCGACAGACCGTCAGACTGACAGACTTGCAGACCGACTGAAAAGCAGACAGGAGGCGGGGGCACGTTCCTTCCCTGCGGCCAGCCGGGCAGAGAAGGCGGCAGTGGCGCCCTCTGAGCGTGTCCGGAGCAGCTACCAGCAGCAGGGGCAGCGGGACGACAGCAGCAACCAGCGCCGTCGCCGCAGCCGCAGCGGTGGCTGCCACAGCTGTGCGGGGATCCCAGCCTACACTGCAGAAAGCTCCTTTTACTAGCAGTTAAATAAATCGACCAAAAAAAAAAAAAAAAAAAAAAAAACCAACCCAAAAACCCAACAACAAAAAAGCCAAGCGCCAAACCAAACAAATCAAGCCAAATCAATCATTGAGAAACAATAATTAAAAAAAGTCAAAAACTAAATCAAACCAGTCAAGGCACCAAGACGCAGGGGGTATACATGGTTAAGATTTGAAAGCATTGTTTCGTTTTTCTATATAATCACTGGAGTTTGTACTGAGAATACTGATGGGCTTCTCCCTCCCCTCTCTCAATAATTTCTAATCCAGTTTATAGGATTGGGTTCCATTTTTTAAAGTGAACTCTGAGAGAAATCTGATTTTTTTTTTTTTTTTTTTTAGAAAAGGCTTTGTGTTAGGAGCAAGCTGCTGAGACTTCCCATTAATAGATACTTGTCCATGCATTCAGGAGATGCTTAGGTGTGGTTCTGTCCAAAAGAGACAGAATTCTCTTCCAATGTGGTCCCAACGTATTAATTTACGACACAGCACAACTTGGCATAGTTTTGCCCCAAAGAAAAGTAGGCTTTTTAGATGACTTAAGATGAAGGAAAGGGTAGTGAATTAGAAATATTTTTAATAATTTTCCCTTGGATTCCATATGGCTAAAAGGAAGGAGAAAATGCCTATAAAAAAAACACTTTTGGAGATGACTGAGTAGAAATGATTGAGACATCGTTCAAAGTAAAAGTCCTGAATCCTTTAGGTTTGGTTTTAAGGAAACCTCATACAGCAGATTCATTTTTATTCCAGCAGGAGCTGAACCCCAGGGGAGACAATTTCAAATAGTTGGAAAATAATTAACTATTCATCAAGGACCAGTACAACCTTATTCTGTTTTTTCATAGCATTTTCTAGAAGCACACATATCATTTGTTTGAGATTTATAATCAATATCTTAGCATATATGAACATGGCCAGAGCTGTAGAAATCACATTTCTATAACAATGTGGAAGGCACATTTCTTAATAAGTCTGTTTATATCATCTGTCATTAAGGGTGGATGTCAATAAGTGAAACTAAAAGGATGTGGACGATTTCACGACATGGTTTGTGCTAGTTATTTATTTGTTGTCTGTTCCTGGGGTTACTAATTGTAGCTGGTAAAAGTTGATTTTCTCCTCTTCAATTTATTGTAGGATGGGGCGTTCATAGCACCAGATCCGTAGTTATTCAGTGTCTACATTTCAGAAGCTGAATTGCTGGATTCTGTCAAAATGAGCTTTGGCAATTCCATGCGGGAGTGTACAACTGTAATTTTGCTGCACATTAATAACAACCTTACAAAGAAGCCCAGAATCAAATGCCTTGCTCTCAGCTGGGGGCAGAAAGCTAGAGTGGTATATCTTGGGGGTGACCTATAATGTTGCAAAAGTAGGCTCTACATTCACTCAGGGGAGTGGGCGGTATTCCGGAAATTTCTTCACTCTCCACTACGCCTCTTCCCTTTTTTTTTTTTTTTTGTGTACACAGAGACTCTCTGTTGTTGCCCTGGCTAGAGTGAGTGCCGTGGCGTCATCCTAGCAAGCTGGACAGCAGAGAACAGTGGTCACCACATGGGACTTCAAATCACCCCACCATCTGACAATTAAAACATAAAAAAAATAAAGCCCATCAAAAAAAAGTACTTATATTTAATTTTTTTTTCCTTTTTTTTTTTTGAAACACAGTCTCTCTCTTTTTGCCCGGGC